CCCCATTTGTTAAAATTTCTTGTTGTGAATTAGATTTTTTCTCTGTTCTTAATCATACTTACGTTGCTACATATTTCATAATTCATGATTGTCAATATCATCTCACTAGCAAAACAGAGTACTTTTTCAACAGTCTGTTGTGAGCCTTGTATTTTCATGTCAAGCACACCTATATATGAAGTATGTGGAAAATAATAGAAAACTGTTATTTCTTGAATCCGGAGTTTTGAACATTCTTGCGATGCAGAGCATTTGTAGAAGTTACGATAATATACCATGTCCATGTTTTTCGAATTAAAAAAATTCAGGATAAAAATGAATTTTACAACATATGTTTATCTAGATGTTTTGCATATATAGCCTCAAAACAGCAACTTTGCTTGAATCGAGTATTAGGTTGGAAAGGTCACATTCTATTTTTGTTCAAATATGGTTGCACCCAAGGCCAAGTTAATGAAAAAAATTCCTTAAAAATCCATATAGCATGCCTAAAAATCAACCAAAATCTCTAAAAATCCCCACAAATCCTGACAAAATCTCTGAAATCTCTAAAAATCCCTACAAAACCTCGAAAAAAATCCCAGAAAAATCCCAGAAATCTCGTACACTATTTTTGGAGTGATACACCCCTCGCCTATGACTAATGATTATGTACATCAGATCACAATCTTTACCTATTAAACTATCCACACAACATTCAGGAATACATGTTTCAGCGAAATCATTCTCGCGAATTCTTTCCTTTAGCACTATTAATGGAATTGAATTGAACGAGAAAAGTACTGTAAAAGCTAGTGGTTTAGTTATATCATAAACTAAATTTTCTGACGAAGCTAACCCGTATAATTATAAATAATATTATTATACTACCGGGTGGCCCAAAAAAAAGTACTCCTGTTTGATTCGTAATAACTTCTAAACAAGTAAAGTTTTTAAAGAGAAATAACTTGCATTAAATAGAGGAAGGACTAACTTAGATTTTGATATATTACAGTTGTATTTAAATTAAAAATTCACGGAGATATTAATGTTAAAAATGGGGAGCATATTTTGGAATGTGTCTAAAATTAGCGAAAATCGGCATATCAAATATTAACTCCAGCGTTTGTTTGTTTAATGACATATTAGGCTAACTTGTATTTCAGCGAATTATCGTTAAGGTTTGTAAGGGATATGGCGTAGATTTAGACATCTTACATGTAAGTCTTAGCTCATTGTTTCCTGAAATATGAACGTTCGAAATTATGCAAGCATTTAATATTAGGTCTTTGCAAACTTAAATGTACATGAAAGACTGACCATGGAAGGCAGGCGCTTAAATTTTTCGTATTCTTAAATAGCCTAATTTTTTTATGTTTTTAATGGGTTCAAACAGACTGAGTAGATTATTTCTCGGTTAGAGCAGGATGAATATTCTTTATTGAAGGAAATATATTGCGTTTTGCAAATACACATCACCGTATCAACGCTACTATTTTGTTACGTTTTGTTCCAAAAATGTTGCATGTCTCTGGGGAGTTGCTTAATTGTTATGTCTTATGGAGTTGTATGGCGAATTTCGGACGAATGAATCTTGCTTGTATTTTGTAGATATAATAATACTTTGTTTCATAATAAACAATTTGTCAAGTGTCATTTATTTACTGGTAATAGTGCATGTTTCAGTCGGGCAAATCTTGATTAATATTTGATACGCCGATTTTTGCATATTTCAGACACATCCAGAAATATCCTCCCGAATTTAAAGATTAATATCTCAGTGAATTTTTAAGTGAAATACAACTGTAATATATCAAAGTCTAAGTTAGTCCTTCCTCTATTTGATGCAAGTTATTTCTCTTTAAAAGCTATACTTGTTTAGATGTTATTACGAATCAAACAGGAGTACTTTTTTTTGGGCCACCCGGTAGTATTATTTTAATAAAGTATGTCTCAATGTTATATTATTCCCTAAATTTATTAGAAATCTCAAAATAAAATTCCATCATAGAAATGTTAAATATTATTAAAATAGTTTTTAGAAATTTAAATGATTACTTAGAAATGTTGAATATTAGTTTAGAAATGTTAAATATTATTTAACTATTTCATTGGTTAGAAATGTCAAATATTGTTTAGAAAATATCTTATTAGGACGAAGTTGTTAATAAACCTTACCGATTATTTCCTTTTACCCAATGGCCTCGTTTTCACGTTAAATTATTTTTAGCATGTCAGGGGCAAATAAAGATTATATTCCCATGTTTTCCTGGACGAATTTGTTTCTTGTTGTTCTTAGGCTCAATAACAAAGTAATTGTCAACACTACTAAGCACAAAACATGTGTAAGTATTTGACACGAAAACGAGGCCATTGGGTGAAAAGTAAATAAACTGTAAGGTATATTCCTGCAATGAACTGCCCTTACATGTTTTACAAAAGTCTGGATTGTTTATTAATCAATGTTATAAATGACAATTACTGCTTACCAGTGACGGCTTGAATGACTGTCGTAAGAAGA